TTCCAGATTGAACACAACATCATACATTGAAATTAAAGTCTGGAACAATAAGCAAGCTGATCTATAGAAGGATATAAGCAGTAGGCTTATTCACTTCTCTACAGACTTAGAAGATACCAGTTCACTCTAACTACTCATTTGAGTGTTAGAGTAGAAAAAGGCAACTTCAACACTTGTCAAAAGACTCAGAACTCATAATAAATCAACCATCATCTTTACTCAGGGGCCACTTATATAATAATCTCATAATCACACAGGCATCATCGAGGCAGCACATATTCAGAGACCATTTATATCAAAATCTCAGAATCATAGATTCATATAATCATATGCATGACCAAACCATCATATATTAACATGTAGTTCATAGAAAGGGTATCAGGGTCCGAATCTAGGGTTTCAAGCTTCCACCAAAAACATAACAGTGCATCAAAACAATACAACTAATTCATATACAAAACAGATAACACATCACCCTTATGGATCATGCTTCCACCAAACCACCAAGCATACAGTTTAAGTATTTAACGTTTATACCTCAGTAAGAGAGACCGAGAGAGTGAGAGATCGAGAGTACAAGCTTCCACCGGAGTCCGGAGGTACAAATAGACTACAGAGGTCGGACCTACGACGGAGAGTTGACAGGGATGGTTAGAGAGAAGTCGCAAACTCGCAGTAGGAGAGATCGAGAGAGGGAGTTGCGAGTGAAGAGTGGAGGCGCTGAAGTGTTAGGGTTAGGGTTAGTGTTAAATAATTCGTATATATAGTATGGGTAGTTCGGGTATTCGGGCGGGTCGGGTAGGGATTTATAATACCCTACCCGTAACCCATAACCCTTAAAACATGGGCTGGGCTTTTCGGTTCGGGTTTTCGGGTTCGGGTCAACCGACCCAATCGGCTATAAGAGGGCAGACCCGATCGTGTTTTCGGGTGGGTTCGGGTTATGCTCACCCCTACATAAAACCCTCATGTCAATTAAATGAGTTTTTCCCGTAATAATGCTGATGGATAGTGTACCGGGGGTAGCTTATTCGAGGGGTCATTTAGGGGAATAACTAGTGAGAAGTCAGAGCAATGAGTAAGAGAGAGAGTAAGTATTCAATATATGAATTGTTGACCCCTTTACAACGTGAATAAGGGCTGCTGTTTATAGCAGCTATAAATGCGATGAGAGTACACGTGTCAACAATCTAACGGCCGAGGGGTCACCTCAATCGGGCTAACACCGACATATGCATCTGCACCGCATTAAATGCAGTGGGTGGATGTGACACCGTATTAAATGTGGTGGTTGGATGTCTCTAAAAGGAATCTTCATCGATAGTTCAGTTGCTGAAGGTATCGTGTGGCCGAAGGCATCATGTGGCTGAAGGCATTGTGTGGCCGAAGGCATTATGTGGCCGAAGACAATATGTGGCCGAAGGCATCATGTGATCGAAGGCATCGTGTGGCCAAAGGCATCGTGTGGCCAAAGGAATCGTGTGGCCGAAGGCTAACATTTTAGCCAGGATTTTCCATAAGCTTTGCAGGACCATATTAAGATGTCTCCCAGAATTTGGAGCCCTCAGCCATAGGGTCGAAGGCATCCACGTGTGCAGCGTGGGCTTCTTCATGCTTGGGCCACTACGTTTGGGCTTTGTGTTCTCATCAGGCTTGATGGACCTGTGTAGAAGAAGCAGGAGTCTGTGGGGCGGGGTGTCCCGGACCATATACTCCATCAAATGCTAATTGAATAAATAATTCCGAAAATACTGTTGGGTTTAGAATAATTTGGTCTGGAAACCTCAATTTGAGGTGGTCCCCGGTAGTATGTTTTGCTGAATATTTTTGTGTATGTTATTCATCAAGTCTAGTTAATCCATACCAAATTTCAGAACCAAATTAAACCGGGAAAGCAGCCAAATGATTTTTTAAAGATAAGTGTGTTTTATATGTATAATTTGAAGCAATTATCTTTCAAAAATCATTTGACGGCCTTTCTGATTGCATTTTTTCTCAAATTTTGTATGGATGAACTAGACGTTATTAAGAACATACACAAAAAAATTCATCAAAACATACCACCGGGAACCACCTCAAATTGAGGTGTCCTGGCCACCCTTTTGTCATGACGTTCTGACCGGATCCCCCGCGGACAACACCATCAGAGGGTCTTCACGGTGGAATTTTTTGATGAAATATTTTGAGCATGTTCCTCATCAATTCTAGATTATGCACACAAAATTTCATCTCAAAATTCAATCGGGAAGGCAGTTAAAAAAATTCTTGAAACATACTGTGTTTTATATATGTACAAAATGTGTCATAAGAGAAGAGGCGCCACTTGAAGTGGCGGCTTTTGTACTATAAGAGAAGAGCCGCCACTTCAAGTGGCGGCTTTTCTTAAGCTTGGTTAACCCATCAGCATTTTGGTAATTATTTTAAACCCAACAGTATTTTGGGAATTATTTATTTAATTAGCATTATTCTGGGAAAAAACTCCAATTGAATCCATAATGAATTCTAACTTGTAAATTTTAATTAATTTAATTACTTTTTAATGACATAGTATATTAAACTTATTAGATTTTTAAAGTAATTAATGAGTGAATAAATTCTATTTAATTAATAGTACTCCTTATATCTCTATGAACAATCTTGTATTTTCGTTCCATGAAGATCGATCAATTGCTATCAAACATGTTAATCCTTGTGATTGATCCTTGTAATTGGTACTCGAATGTAACGACATCCACATCCATGAGATTATTCGGGGATCATCTTGATGATGTGTAAGATTTTTTTGGAAGTTATGGTTGATCGAGAAGAAGAGATTATTGTGAAAGATTATTTATATAAAAAAAACCGGTATCAAATATTAAATTCCAGATTATTCAAGATTATTCTCAAGTTTCAATAAACACATTTAATGCAACAATATCTTTTAATTTGGAATGACTAAAATACCTCTTTGGAAAATAACTAAAAACTTCATAAAAACATAAATAAATAGAGATCATGGTTGAGGGGGAATTAACAAGTTTTGATTTTATTTATGTGGCGATGACATGGCAAGAGAAACACGTGAAAAAACGGAGGAGGGGATATTTAGGAATTGGGGACTAGTGGCGGAGCCACATTAGTTCAAAAATGTTCATACGAACACTTAGAATTTTGAAAAATATGTTATTATTAGTAGTATACATTTACAAATTTAGAAAAGGGTCAATTTAGGTCTTCTACTATTATGAAATCATCACATAAGGTCATGTACTCAATTAAGTGTCATATAAATACGCCTACTTATAAAAAGCAATCAGATGTGTCAAAACTACCCGTTGAAAACATCCTAATCCTGATTAAAGCTTTTACATTGTTATATTTTCCTTGTATTTAAGTCAATCTTGACCAAATATTTCACGCCAGCTTTATAATCTATTTGAAAAAGATCGCGGGACATATGCTAAATCGAGATTATGAGGTTGTCAATATATCGTTAGGACTCATCCGATTGGTTTAAGTAGACGTATTTATATGACAGGTTATTTGACCTCTTTCTTTTAAATTATTGATTGGTCTTTCAAGTCCAAAAACCAGATGGAATCGGCCAGTGTTGGGGACACATTAAATTAAACACCATGCGTTCTCATATTCAATTACTCGATTCAGAAGACATGAAAATTCGTGGCGATGCCGAAGGAAAGCATAACCCAAAAAGTAAAATAGGTAACCTCCGGCCAAAAGACTCACTCATCTACTCCTCCCAGGCCAAACAGCTCACAACGTATATGCTTTGCAATGGAAGCCAAGAAATCCTAAAACCAAAAGAATCCATATTTTGTACAAATACTTTAGGAATAATTGTATTAAATTAGTATACATCCTTTGTTACTCAACTCAATGCTTTTTTATTATTTTGTAATCCCGGTAGCTAGGCTTTTCTTACTCGATGCTTTTGTGGAATGTATTACATTAACACGAATTTTCCGATGTTTGCTTTTTACTGCCAGACATTATATATGTGAAGTCGATCTTCTCAGAACTTATTCACTTCTAAAAACAAGTTTGACATTTAGGAGTAAATGACTCATATTGTTTTGGATAAAAACATAACTATTATGTATACGTACATCCACAATTGTATTAGTGACAACTTGTCTACAAATTTAAAAGTAATGTACATTTTTACTACGCATACATCATATTATTTTGAGCCGCCATTGACATTTATAAAAACTTCCAGAATTAACAGATATTGCTAATAGCTACAGATTTGCCAAAATTCATAGAAGATCCGTGCAAAATAACATTTTATCATGGATTATTTGACACGAAATCATCGATCAATATGTATCAAATCCATGTCAATCTCGCCTTTTTATTATGATAAATTGATTTTGTAGTTATTATTTATAAAGTCTGACACTAAATTACGGAGTATGATAAAGCTAATCCTCTAATATATTTTTTAGGTAATCCTCTAATAATAATATTAAAATAAGCTTGAATAATTAAACACAACAAATACATACGAGTACAAATTACTAGATATCGAAAGTACTTTTTTTAAACGCAAGAACATACTCCGTACAAAATAAAATAGAAATGGGTTAAAAAATGTTAAATAAAATAATTACATTTCTTTAATTATTTAATTATATTAAGAGCCTGTTTGGTGGTTCTGGTTTTTGGCTTATCAGATTTATCAAACAGCTTTTTAACCAAACACATAACTTTTGATTTCGCAAGCTGAATTGTGTAATAATAAGAAAAAGTAAGGTTGAAGTTACTTTTCTGACTGTATTGACAAAAATTACTGTAGATAATCATTTTAGCTATTTTTTCATATAATTTTTTATTTATTTCATTAATAAAATATATTTTAAATATAAGTTTCTCATAAATTAGTAGTATCAATCAACACAGTCATTTCAACAATAACTTCATAAATTTAAGGAGAATGAGTTGATTAAGTCGATTTAGATGTTAGGCTTAAAGGGAGAGGCAAAGTTGAGTGGATGTTTTTAATTAAGAAGTATGTCAAAGTATTTGTGGGCGGCGTATAAAAACTTGCGGGTCACAGCTCCAAAAACCTCGATCCCCGGCCTACAAATACCATCCTCCTCCTAACCCACCAACGACTCAATCATCAACAAATTTTCGATTCTTTCCTCCGATCCATATATTTTGAATTCAATTGATTGATTTTGCAGATCGAAATAAATTTCCCTCTGCGGCCCCGGCGCTGATAAATCAATGGCGGCTCAAAATAGTTGGGGCCTTCATACCTTGGCTTCCCTCTGCGGCCTGCTCCTGCTGCTTCACAAAGCCAATGCTGTTGAATTCAAGGTCGGAGGCACCGGAGCTTGGGGCCCCAATTTCAACGAAACCTTTTACAATAAGTGGGCAGAGGGAACGCGCTTTCAAATCAATGACGCCATTGGTATGTAATGTATCCATGCCTCCTAATTTTGCAATTATATATAGCTTTCAAAGTTAATTATTAAGACTGTATGTATATTATATTTTGGGCAGTTTTCAACTACGAGGCACATAAGGATTCAGTGCTTCTGGTAAGCAAAAAAGAAGACTATAAGAGTTGCACTACCACAGGTGATGTGCTCAAATACAGCGACGAAAGCGGCCAAACTAAGGTCCAATTCGACCGCTCTGGCTACTTCTACTTCATCAGCGGAGTCAACTGCAATACCACTCATCAGAAACTTGTCATCGTCGTCTTGGCCGATCGCCGGAGCCGCTCCAACGCGCCCACTCCAACTCCCTCCTCCTCCTCCGCTCCAGCCCCTGCCCCGGCTGCTCAAGCGGCGCCTCCTTCTCCGCCCCCTGCCGCCGTCGATCTCACCCCAGCTCCAGAGCCAGCTGCCCAAGACTCTCCTAATACCAACGCCGGGGGATCGCTGATTGTCACCGGCTGTGCTTCTTCCATGATTGCAGCAGCGGCCTTGTCTTTCATGCTCTTTTAATTCAACGCCTCATCGATGATATATACTCCTACTTCGTATGATCCATGATCGAAAAGCAGCAGCTGCTTCCATCTCAATGACAGTATATAAATGGTTGTGATTCGGTAATTATTATGGGGCCTGCGGGATTTCTTTCTTTCTTTCTTTCTTTTTTCTTTTTTTTTTGCTTTTCCCGTACGTTATTGTTTGATGAACCTTTGATTTGATTGTATAAATAAAAAATTGTGTTGATAACTACAGTACATAATATAATATAATGCAATATTAACACTCAAATCGGCTAGATTTTTAAATTGGTAAATTCTCGTTGTGAATATTGTAATCGTTGAATCTCTTAAGTTATGGATAAAATAAAAATTTGATGAAAAATAGCTAACACAATCCAATACGGTAACTTCAGTGAACTCAGTTACAATAGTATATTTAATCTTGTTCATTTTGATTATTACACAATTCAACACGAGAAATAAAAAGTTACCGAGAATACATGTTTAGTAAACAGTTGGCTTATAAGCTGAAAATAATGATTACCAAATAAACTGTATATAAAGAAGTTGAAGCCTCAGCTTGGGGGCTGAAACATTTTTATAGCAAGTCATATGACATATTCCCATCCCTAGCTACTATACGTTGATCTGTTTTCACATATAGCTCTTCATTGTAAAAAAAATAAAAGAATGCTTCAAGAGGATGCACACACTTCCTGAACGTTACTAGTACTGTGCATAGCATAACACATATTATAACATTTTATTTTATGATTCCTTAATTAATTGGCTGGAATTCAGTCCTAGCAAACTCCTAACGTACGTATGCTCTTTCTTTCCTTCATTATTTTAAAGCTTAGTTATGCATAAATACTTTTATCGGGACAACCGAGCAATACGGTGAACTTGATGGGTTGTTTGTTCTTTGTCAACTTAGAGTCACTAACAAGTTACTTCAATAATAGATCGACTTAGCTTAACTTCCTCTAATTCTTGAATTTGAAGTTGCGATTCATAATCATGGCTTCATCCGCTTTCCAGTTTTTCTGCCCCCAACACATTGTTTAAATGTAACTAAACCGTCTAAAAAACTAGTACCCAAACAACCTCCATGTTCAAGAAATTAAGCTCGACTCTAATTCAATATGGGCAGGAACAATTATATATACATCACACAGTTGGGAAAAAGGTCACTGACAAATTAAGGCGTATGATTTAAGAAGGTTTATCCACATTTTTTTGACAGAACCGATCGACAATCACATAAAACAATCAAAGTAAAACCAACTTATTAATGATGCACTATCCTGTTGGAAAAAATTAAAACAACTGACGAATGTGATGTGAGTTTGTTTAGTACATTAAACGTTTAAACAGCGGCTAGGCAGGTAGGGTGTGTTTCGGAAAATAAAGAAAATTAATTAAAATAAATTAATTAAATAAAATGACTAGAGAAAAACAAGAAAGGAGATGGAGCAGAATTAGTCAAAGCTCGTGCTACGCACGATTTCCTTAAAATGTATTTGTTGCCTCCCACGGTGGTAGGAGCGTTGCAACAATCGTTTCCCAGGATACGATGACTACGAACTAATGTTTGAGCACACAAACAAGAGTTCCAGCGTACGAGAACCAAGTATGAACACAGAAGGAATTTTCAGAGTAGCTGTAGGTGTTTTTAGCTCAAGAATACGTGAGGAATGTATTGTGCGTTGTGTCAAAACCGTGTGTTTGTTGCAAAGCACCTGCCAGCTATTTATAGGAGGATTTGTTGTGTGTTAAATGAGGTGTTAATGGACCTGAACGTTGGACATCAATGACCAGTCCGTTGGGCATTGAATCGTCCATAAACTGTCCATTTAACGCAGCATTAAAAGAGAAGAACGTTGGGCATTAATTGTTGTAACGGAAGAAATGCGCGACAGAAGACCCCAACAGAACACCCCTTGGAGGGGTTCTGTCCGAAGCCAACAGAACACCCCTTGGAGGGGTTCTGTCTGAAGCCAACAGAACACCCCTTGGAGGGTTTCTGTCCGAAGCCAACAGAACATCCCTTGGAGGGTTTCTGTCCGAAGCCAATAGAACACCCCTTCGAGGGGTTCTGTTCGAAGCCAACAGAACACCCCTTGGAGGGTTTCTGTCTGAAGCCAACAGAACACCCCTTCGAGGGGTTCTGTTCGAGGCCTTCTGTCCGGAGCACTTCTGGGAAAAAATAAACGTTTCGGGAAGAAAACAAAAATTAACCGTATCTCTTGAGAGATAGATTTTTGGACGGCATTCGTGTTCGCAGGTCGCCCGCGCACACGAGTCGCGGTTTTTCTTCTCCGTTTCGGGATTTGATCGGCATCCCCCCTGCGCGTAAGAGAGAGCCATTCCCTCTAGGAATCTTAACTCCTTAAAAGAGACTTCCCTTTATAAGGGGGTTAAAATCCCATGAGTTTTTCGATGTGGGATAAAACAAATTAGAAACTCACCATTTTCCCAGTTTTTTCATTTCAACGAGTGAACTTCGAGAATCAATTTCTCATTCACCCGTTATCCGTTTTGAGTGTACCACATATCGAATTGTAGCCCTTAACAAGGACAATCCGAAACCACTTTGACCCGACCCAAATCGGAAGTGGACCCCACTCAAATAATTGCCCCAAAATGACCATTTAATGCAATTTTTAATACATTTTTCCAACAAGGCACACATGTATATTAGTCGATACTAATTAATTTGTGTGTCATGCGTGAAAAATAGAAGCTTGCTACCATTCAAGGAATCCATTATGGTTATTCATCAGAGTTGTGATTAATCGTTTGTTTATAATGTTGGACGAGAAGCGCATCTGGTGTAGTGGTATCATAGTACCCTCCCACGGTACTGACCGGGGTTCGATTCCCCGGATGCGCATCCTTTTTGAAATCGGGCAGCATTTCTCAGGTACTGGCCAGGTTCGATTCCTTGATACGCACGGAGTAAGATTTTGCTATTTTCATTTTCATTTTCATTTTCCTAAATTGAAAATTGATTAAACATAGAAAGAGAATTATTTTGGTTTGGCAATATTCTACTCCAATTTGCCAAGTTTTTGTTTAGTCACTAAACACTCCTCCGGATCCGTTTATGGTGAAATTTGAATGTTATTTCAATCACCCTATGTTAAAATGATTAACATCATTGCGTCCATATCCCCTGACTAGTTCATACTCCTAATTGAAAATTTCGCTAATTTAATGTTGGATCTCACATTCGTTTCTATTGTCTGTGCTTTTTATATTCAAAAGCGAGAAAGAAAACTATAAAAACCTTATCTTTATCTGTGTATATATATATATATATACTTGATTCTCACCCCGTGTGATGCACGCGACATAAATTAATTAATAACAATAGTATATGAGTTGTTAGCATTATTAGTTAATGTGAAAATGAATGTATAGATGTAATACACCACACACACAAAAATTAATCAAGGAAAATCATGTGCGACTCATAATTAATACGGAGTATTTCGTATGAAGTATGTTTTGGAATAAGAAGGAATAAATCAATATTACAATAAGAATTCAGCTACACATTTTGAAACACATCTTTTTTTACACATCTTTATAAATACTCCCTCCGTCCCAATTTGTATGATACTTTTCGGTTTACGATGCTTTTACCGAGGATAAAGCAAATTGATCCCTGTCAACACTCAAATTAGTTTTAGAAAATAAAATTTACATATTCAAATGCTACATTGAAACCGCTACAAAACCTGCAAAAAATAATTCAAATTTCATAAACTTTTGATATATAAAGTAGATGATTAAAAGTGATTTATGTTGACCAAGTGAATAGTAAATGTATTTTACAATTTGGGACTGAGGGAGTAACATTGATTAATAATGTTATAACTCTTTCTAAATAACATGGGCTTTTGCCTTGAATATTTCTAAATTAAAGTCACTTTCTAAAAATGTGACAATTTTTTAAAAAGGACAAAAATGTGACTAACAGATGTCATTGCCAATTTTTTATGTCATTGTCGATTTTAAATCACTGCGATTTTTTGTCACTTTTGAATGTCGCTATCGATTTCATGTCACTTTCACATGTAACTATCGTCATCAAACATGTCACTGTGCCGCTGGAAATTTTCCGACGACTGTAACATGTAACAATTGTCTGCTGCCTTGCCCTACCTCGACCCTCCCCTGCTCCCCTACAGCTCCCCACCCCCCTCGACAGCCAACCACTTCCTACCCCACCCGTGCGTTGCCCATTGACCATTCAATACCTTCGCCGCCAGCCACCCCACCGGCACCACCAATCCCACCACCACCCACTGCCACTTCATCTCCCCTTAGACCCTCCCCATCCCCCATGCCACAACACCCCAAACTCAAGCCCAATCCCCTGCGCCCACCACTTCATCCAGCCCCCAGTGACCACCGGGCCCACGCACCATCGTGCACCATCTCCACTGCCCCTCCCTTCTGCAGTCACAGCCACAAATTTGGCCAGCCACCACCAGTGACCCAGTGTACCCAAAGTGCCACAGACGACCACCAACCACCACCGCCTAACCCCGACCTGCATCCCCCAGCCCCAACAAACCTCATCTCCGACCAACTCCACCCCCTCCAGCCACCCAATCCCCGCCGCACGCCAACTGTGACCACCCTAATGTTAGGAAATTGATGTAACGTACCTCGAAAGTACGGCAGTGGAAGTTTAAAATTTTCCCAAACAGATCTTCCCTGATTATGACAAAATAACGAATATGATAATAATAACAGATCTTAGTTATAACTTACAGATTTTCCAGCCTAGCGGTGATAATCCTTGACCTTTGGTATCCACGTGATTTCTCCTTTCCGATAGAACGGTTAGATCTCCCTAAAAGAAAGGCTAGGAAATCTCTTCGCGGGGAAATAGACTGGTAATACTGAATCTGAAAACTAGTCACAGAATTAGGAAGGAGGAGTGTGTATTAATACTAGTTCTAAACTAGTTTTCTAATCACAACCAAAGTCTTACTCATTAATGAGTTATAGTCCTACCAGGACCAATACATCATTATTAATTAAATACGTTGGATAAAACATAATAATAATAATAATAATAATAATAATAATAATAATAATAATAATAATAATAATAATAATAATAATAATAATAATAATAATAATAACAATAGAGAAGTGGCTGCACGCCACTCTCTATATGTTATTTATTATTATTTAGTTTATTTTATTTTCCTTTTTAATTCCAAATCAATAAAAGAAAATACCAACTTTATTTAATAATAAATACACCTTAATTAGGTATAATAAATCTAATTTATCACACTTAATTTATTCTATCAAATAGAACTCTCCTTCAACATCATGAATTAAATATAGTTTAATCTAACTA